TCTGTGTGTGTGTGTGTGTGTGAACTCTCCGGGCAGTGCAGGTGGCACTGGAACGACGACCAGGCCCACGCCCAAAGGGCTCTGAAGGGCTCGTGCGTGATCGACCCGTGGAAGAAGGACGCTCCGCGCAGCATCGCCCGCCGCTGTTTTGCAGCTGCTGCGTGCTTTTCTGACTGTCGATGTCGGTGACGAGTGAGGGCGACTGGCCCTCCTGGGACGAGGGAGAGAGGATCGGCGGCGAGCGAGGGGGGGAAGTGGGAAGGAGAAGGCCTTCTCAGCAGGCGGCAGGACTTTCCAGAGGCCCTTGCGCCTTCTGAGAGATTTTTTCGGTGTCCCCGGGAAAGGCTTAGACAGCTTCTCGGAAAGCCAGGGGACTGCCGAACCTTCTGAGGATGCCTTCTCCTTCTCACTTTCCCCCCCCGGGCTCACCGCCGAGATCTGTTGGCTCCCTCTGGGAGCCAATCTGAGTTTCCTAGACTTCGAGGTGCGGCACGGACACTGGATCCTCACCGTTCCAGGCCTCGCATGCCCAGAAGCTGTGGCACTGGGGTAGCGTCCTCGGGGCGTTTGGTCCTGACGTTATCAGGCATCCCGTGTGCGGAAAGGGTGGCAGAAACCTTTGGGGTTCTCGGGTTCTTCCCACTGCAGGCTTCCCCGGTCCAACGTCCCCGCCCAGGGCCCAGGGTACACCCAACTCGTCGGTTAGCGAGAGCTGCGCTAATAGCACGAGCATCCTGCTGTTCGAGAGCTATGCTGGTCTGTTTCTCTTCCGCCGTCGTCGAGCTTACTCGTTCTACGTCGCTGTCACATTAGCCAGGTTCTGCACTGTCCGCCCCTTGCCAGCTAGCGTGCGGTATCGACTAACCAGGCCTGCGGTCAGACGGCAGGAAACCGCGCCAGACAAAAGGCTTGGGGGAGGTGGACCTATCGGGCTGGTCTTCTGATGCCCGCCAACTTGTCATGGCTCAGTCCGCCATCCTCTCTTGCGCCTTCTTCCACAGGTCGAGTGAATCGTTAGCTTCGTTCGTGATTTCCCGTTCCGTACACATCCTCCCTCCCATCGATCCTGTCTGCTTCCCGCGTCCTTCCTCTTCTGTCTTCCCTCTTTCCCCTCTTGCTCATCAATCCGCCTCCATCCTCCAGCATCTCTTTCTGTCCTCCGTCCTCCCTCCTCCCTCCTTCCCGCTCGTCCCTTCTGATCTGCTCCCTGTCCCCTCTCCCCTCGTCTTCACCTCCTCCCTCCTCCCTCCCTTCTCCCTGTTCCCTCCTCCCTCCTCCCTCGCCTCCCCCCCATCTCCCTCCCTGCTTCCTCCCAACTTCCTCCCTTCCTCGGCCCCCTCGTTTTTTTCCATCCCTCAGTCTCCCCCTCTCTCGAGCTCGTCTTCCTGCTCCTGCACGTCCCCCTCCTCGCTCCTCTTCCACGCCTGCCTCCACCCCCTTCCCTCTCCCTCCTCCGCCCTCCCTCCTCTTGCTGCCTCTCTTCGTCCCCCCTCCTCCCTGCGTCCTCTCCTCCTCCACTTCCTCGTCCTCCTCGCACTTCTCGCTGGCCTCGTCCTTTCGTCCTCCTCCTCCTCCTCCTCCTTCTGGTCACCCTCCTCGTTCGGATCCCCTGCTTCGTCCTCCTCCTCCCCTCCTCTTTTTTTTCCTTCCTTTCCCCCCCTCCCTGTTTCCTCCTCCTTTCGCCCTTTGCCCCATGGCCTCTCCCTTCCCCCCCCCGCCTTCCCGCCCCCCTCTTCCTGCCCTTGCTCCTCCTGCTCCTCCTGCTCCACCTCCTCCTCCACCTCCACCTCTTCCTCCTCCTGCTCCTCCCCCTTTCCCCCTGCTCCTCTTGCTCCTCCTCCTTCTCCTCCTCCTCCTCCTCCTCCTCCTCCTCCTCCTCCTCCTCCTCCTCCTCCTCCCCCTCCTTCTCCTCACCGCCTCCTCCTGCTCCTCCCCCTCCCCATCTCCTTCCTCCTGCCCCCGCTCCTCCCCCCCCTCCTGCTCCTGCTCCTGCACCGGTGCCGCGGCTGCGTGGCGCGCGCTGCGTGGGCCCCGGCACCCCTGTCGCAGGAGGGCTGCACGGACACGGCCGAGCCGATGAGCCTGAGCCAGGACCTGGGCCAGAACTCGTCTGGAGCGCTGAGCCTGAGCCAGGACGTCGGCTCGTTGGGCCCGGCCGTCTGAGCCGGCGCGGGGCCGCGGCGGCGGCTTGCCTTTCCCCGTTCCCCTCTTCCCCTTCCCCCCCTCCTCCCCCTCTCCTCCTGCTCCTCCTCCTCTTCCGCTTCCTCTCCCTCCTTCTCCTCCTCCTCCTCCTCCTCCTCCTCCTCCTCTGCTCTCCGTCACCCTCCGCCTTGCATGCCGACCTCCTCCCTCCCCGTCTCCTCTTCGCTCTCCCGTCTCTTCGCTATCGCTCCACGCTCCTCCCTTCCTCCTCGCTCCTCCGTCTTCCACGCTCCCATCTCGCTCCTCTCTCCTTGCTCCTCTCTCCTCTCTTCCTTCCTCTCGCCTGCCCTTCTCCGTGCTACCCGCTTCTCGCTTCTTGCTCCTCCTTCCTCTGTCTTCCCTCCATGCCCGTGTTTGAGCGGGCCGCTGTATCCGAGGCTGTGCCCTCCTCTCGGCCTCGCTCTGAGGCTCCGCCGCTTCCTCCCTCCTCTTTTCTCTGCCCAATTCAAGCTTCGCGCGGCCCGCTTAGCTTCGACCGGAAGAGGTGCGCTCTCGACCCGCGGATCAAAAGTGTTTGAGCGGGCCGCCAGGTCTGCTGACGACCACACCAGCACACGCCACCCAGGCGGCCGCGCAGAGGGCGCATCCTCTCGGCCGCGTCTCACGGGGAGCGCTGTGCTGCTCGGGTCCTCGGCGGCCCTGCTGGACACGAGCGCGACCGGTCCGCTCGTCACCACATCCGAGAACTTGTTCCCCACATGCTTCGTGGGGTTCTGGTTTTCTTCTCTGCCGCGTCTCACCCGCGCTCACTCACTCACCTCCCTCTTCCCCTCAACCTGACAGCGCTGTTCAGCTCAGCTCAGCACAGCTTAGCACAGCTCAGCTCAGCTCAGCACAGCACAGCACAGCTCAGCACAGCTCAGCACAGCACAGGCGTTTCTGCGCGACCTGCAGCCCGACGCTTAGCACAGCACAGCACAACACAGCTCAGCACAGCACAGCTCAGCACAGCACAGTTCAGCACAGCTCAGCACAGCACAGCACAGCACAGCTCAGCTCAGCACAGCACAGCACAGCTCAGCACAGCACAGCACAGGGGTGGCACTTTCTCGACACCAGAGAGGGTGCGCAGGGGGTGGTCCCTCAGCGCGGTCTCTATGCGTGCCAGGGTCGGAAAGCGTGGCAGGTGTGGTACTTTCTCGACACCAGAGAGGGTGCGCAGGGGTGGTCCCCCAGCGCGGTCTCTATGCGTGCCAGGGTTGGAAAGCGTGGCAGGTGTGGTACTTTCTCGACACCAGAGAGGGTGCGCAGGGGTGGTCCCTGAGCGCGGTCTCTATGCGTGCCAGGGTCGGAGAGCGTGGCAGGGGTGGCACTTTCTCAACACCAGAGAGGGTGCGCAAGGGGTGGTCCCTCAGCGCGGTCTCTATGCGTGCCAGGGTCGGAAAGCGTGACAGGTGTGGTACTTTCTCGACACCAGAGAGGGTGCGCAGGGGTAGCCACAGGGGGTGCGCTGGGGGTGGGGGCCCTATGCGTTGCAGGCTCCCAGGGCGTGGCAGGCGTGTCATTTCCTCGACGCCACAGGGGGTGCGCCGAGGGTGGGGGCCGTATGCGTTGCAGGCTCCCAGGGCGTGGCAGGCGTGGCATTTCCTCGACGCCACAGGGGGTACGCTGGGGGTGGGGGTCTATGCGTTGCAGGCTCCCAGGGCGTGGCAGGCGTGGCAAGTCGCTTCGAGGCCACCAGGGGGCGCGCTGGGGGTGGGGGCCCTATGCGTTGCAGGCTCCCAGGGCGTGGCAGGCGTGGATTTCCCTCGACGCCACAAGGGGGTGCGCTGGGGGTGGGGGCCCTATGCGTTGCAGGCCCCCAGGGCGTGGCAGGCGTGGCATTTCCTCGACACCACAGGAGGTGCGCTGGGGGTGGGGGCCCTATGCGTTGCAGGCTCCCAGGGCGTGGCAGGCGTGGCATTTCCTCGACGCCGCAGGGGGTGCGCTGGGGGTGGGGGCCCTATGCGCTACAGGCTCCCAGGGCGTGGCAGGCGTGCCATTTCCTCGCCGCCACAGGGGGTGCGCTGGGGGTGGGGGACCTATGCGCTGCAGGCTCCCAGGGCGTGGCAGGCGTGCCATTTCCTCGCCGCCACAGGGGGTGCGCTGGGGGTGGGAGCTCGTATCTTGTCAAGAACTGTAAACACCTTGGCTCAAGCCGGCTCGGCGCGCAAGCGCACGTGGGCATGGAGGTGAGATTCACCGCCAAGGTGTCTAAGCGCAAGAGCTTGGCCCAGGAGCAGAAGGCCTCCATAGTGAGCTTCGTGTTCGAGAGTAGCGACCAGGTCAGGTACGACGCGTGCGCGCCAGGAAAGATCTTCCGAACGCGCTTTCTGCCTGCCGGAATCTGGATGCAGATGCACAAGTTTGAGATGCAGAGCCCGGGCGTGGTTGCCGCCCGCACCAACTCTTTCGGGATCGACAAAGAGAAGGCGAACGGCCTGTTCTGCTTCCCGCTCATGGAGGCGAACTTCAAGTGGACAAGCGCCAACAAAACGCACCAGGTCAAGAGGTTCGGGTACGCGCTCACGCACGGGCGTTTCCTGACATCCACCGCGTCACAGGGCCAGACGATCCGCACCGGGGTGACCATCGACTGCGCGCAGGACATGAGCATTGGCAGAACGGAGGAAAGAGAGGAGACCTGGTGGCTCCACCTGTGCGTGATGCTCAGCAGAGATACTTGCATGGAAGACATGCTCGTGCTTCGGCCGCCGCCACGGGAGGTCTTGCAGAAGGGCCCGCCTCCGTCCGTGCTCAAAGCCCTCCAGAAGTTTGATGAGCGCATGGTTACGGAGACGCGGGAGATCGAGGACCTC